AGAGAAAGAAAGGATGAATGAAGGAAAGAAAAAGGAGGCATTACTCAACCCAACAGTTTAAGTAGAGTTTTTTGGGTTTTGGGTTTTGTTTGTTTTTTTTTTTTTTTACAAAATGACAATTGAGTTCTACAAATCAAGATGGAAATTGTTTGGTTTGCCTATAATTGTTATATATTACTCATAAAAACCTTGGCTATATATCATTTTGCTTTAACTTTTTTTTGTTTTTTTTTAGAAAAAGGGACTCTCTACATAGCCCTTGCTGTCCTAGAACTCTCTATGGAGACTAGACTGGCCTCAAACTCACAAAGATCCACCTACTTCTACCTCCCAAGTACTGGAGGTAAAGTTGGGTGCCACCCACATGGTTTGCTTTAACTTTTAAAGAATTAGAGTTAGTGTAATGTTTATAAAAATTGTTTTGGTTGTTACCAAACATATGTTTTTATGCATGGTAAAATAATCACAAAATTTTTTAAGTGGAAACATTCCTCATTAGGCCTTCATCAGATTTTTCAGGGTGGCCTATTTGATAGTTCTGTTGCTACAGAGACCCAGAACCTTCTAACACCATCTTTAGTACCCAAGGGTACCTTGTCATGCATGGAAACCAGACTCTGGGATGTTGTCTTTCCCTAAGTTTCAGAATAGAATGCCTCACATTTTTTGTTTGTTTGTTTGTTTGTTTGTTTGTTTGCCTTTTTTCTCAATGTTAAAGATATTCCCTAAACTTGACCCTTTCTTAGATTTGGCTTATAGAACCAGTTGCTCATTAAGCAGATCAGTGTGTTTTACTGTGAGCGTGTGAGGAAAGAGTTTTTCTGCCCAGTGGGTTCATAGTTATTAAGCTGCACTCATTAGCTCCCTTTCAATGACATGAAAGCAGGAGGTTCCAAAGCAGGAGGAAGGTCTAGCTACTTGTACAGAGGAATGACTCTAATATTCAGTGCATCCCCCAGACCCAGGGCCCGAAGCTCTGCATTCTCTTCAAAAGCCATGGTGTGTAGTAGGCAGATACATACACAAACAACAAGCATTAATTAACTAACAAAGACTTTTCCCTAACCCTCCTCAAGGAAGCCAAAGTATGATGGGGTACCTGGTGCCCAACCCAGGGCCTGGCATTACAAACAAGGGCTTTCTCCCTGGAGAACAGCATACTCTAGAGGCCAAGTACATGTGCTCAATGTGCAGAGGCATTCCAAATTTCCAGATTCCACAAAACGATCCTCATCTTTGCTGGCAATTTAACTTTTAAATATCCCTCCCTGTATCTAACACCAAAATGCTTCACCTCAAAGCACACGGGTGACTGTCCACAGCACAGCTCACTCACTAAGACTAAGCAAGCACAAAGTAACCATGTTGGCAGTGTGCTGGGATATGTGGAGTGTATGGTTGCTCTAGAAACACTATTTGTTTAATTGAAAATGCACATGTAAGAATGCATTTTTACAGTGCAATTTTGAGAAGAGAAAAAATATTTTCAGCAGCTTGAATCCCTCCATCTATTCTGATTAAGAAAGTACTAGAGCAACAGTCACAAATCACATTCAGTAAAAAGTGAACAAAACTCCACACAGAGTTTAACAGTTTAACTTTGTCGTTCAAAGCTGGTGACAGACTTGTTTTAAGTGGAAACATTCCTCACTGCCTACATATTTAGGGTTTTGTAATGAGTTGTTATATGTCAAAGAAGATTCACAAACAAGACTATAAGGCTTCTAAGCAGACTATGGGTATGCATTTCAGATGGTCTCAGCTGGAAGATTCGGTGGCATCTGTCGTTAGCCAGCATCCTACTGATTTACCCTTGGCCAATGATGGATGGATGCGTCCTGATAGATGCTGTCATTGTGAGAGACGAGGGGACAAACACATAGAAGTTCTTATTGTCTCTTCACTGTCCGGATCTATGCATTAGCTCTTCCAGTGTTTTCGAATAACCCTGAGCATCTGAAAGGACTTCAAGCTTCCTAATTAAAGAGCTGTTGATAAAGCTGGTTCTCCTCATCTCACAGGTGCCGGGCCCCACATCTGGGATTTGAACCCAAGTCTGCAATTTTCCCAGACTTTCACCATGCCACTGTTCTAAAACAAACATAGAAGAGCTGGTCTTTGCACAGATTTCACATAGAACTCTCATCTCGATGCTGTAACAAATTTATGGGCTACACCGGCAGATGCCACAACTCTCTTCTACCTAAGGGGAACTGTAGTTCAGATGGTAGATGGCTTTCCCAAGGTCGAATTTCAAGTTATTGGAAAATTCAAATTCTTCTTGCAAATCCTG